AGCTTTACGTTGAATATTATTTATGATTTTACATTAATAGTATCTGTACATCACTGCTAGGGTAGCTGATGTCAGTTTCATTATCCACATGTATATTTACTCAAAATACAAATGATTATGTAGAAGGTGAGGTAGCATTTTAATGCAACCAAAAATTCATAGATAAACTAAACTATAAAAGTAAATAATAAGTGAATGATAAACACAACCATTATCATAAAGACAAATAGAATTTGTTATGTCACTCCTTCTCTTCCCCATTTACATCAGTGTCGGACTTCACTACATGTCCTTTGTCATCTCAGTTAATTTTGTGGAATGGTATGTTAGATATTGGTTATTTTTGGTTGAATTTCTCAGTAATTTTCGTTTCTTTACACATTAGTTTTTATTACATACTATGTGGACTGAGTATATTTAGATAATTTGTCTGTGTCATATATGAGTAGTTTGTTTATTGAGTATGTTTGGTTAGTTTGTACCTTCCATATCATTACCACTAGTAACAAAGAATTTGTTCTTTTTGAATAATTGTTTTGTCAATGTTAAGTATGTACCTTCTCCTCCTAATTTTAGTCAGTGTTGGGATTTATTCTGTGTCCTTGTCACCTAGGTAACTTTTTCTGTCGGGTACCTTAGATTTTGCTTATTGTTGTGTTTTCTCGGTAATTTCTGTCAGTTGGCACGTTTGTTATTTTTAGTCTTTGTGGACTAGAAAAATTTTGATACTTTGCCCATTTGATCTTAGTCAGTTGTTTGTTAACTAGGAATAATTTGATAGTTGGTACGTTATATATCATTACTACTAGTAATATCTATCCGTTGTTCTACCTGAATTTTATCATGAGTGCTCAATTGTGCTGTCCTAATTTTCGTCACTGTGGGACTTAAAATTTTGCCTTATTACTTCACTGATGTGCTTGTTCCTTTCTCCTTCATAGGGCTGAGTTTAGCTTTGGTTCCTTTTCCTACATTCTTGATCCTAGATATCTCTTTATGTGTTTTGTTAGCAAATGCAATCATTTGCCTGACCTTTTCACTCGATGAATCTTGCTTTCTTCCTTTTTTGGTTTGACTGGCTCCTGCTTGCTTCCTCCCATTCTCGGTCCAGAGTCCACATTCTTCTGCTCCTATGTCATCCTCTATCCCGATCTCAATCCTTCCTCCCTAAGATCTATGCTGCTAGTGGCTGTGTTCTGTCTTTCACATCCATTTCCTTACTTTCCATTTTCCACCTGTACTTTCTTTCCAATAGATAGGCTTCCTTGTCCAGTTCGTTCCTTTAGGTGTTATGTGACACATTCTTTCTCCTTTCTGGGTTTGCATTCCTGACCCCTTATTCCGAGGAACCCTTCAGTTTCCAGTATTCTATAACCTATTACTCTCTCAGTGGTTGGGTTTGTCAACTAATCTGGCTTGTTTATTTGGACTTGTCCATGCAAAGTTGCCATCTCCTCAATGTCTCTTTGCATATATTGTCACATTACTGTCTTTTGCTGCTCATCTCCACCGTCCTTTGAGAGATTGAAATCGTTTGGCTAGATATGGCTGTGTCTACCTCAGGTGAATATTGGCTTCCTCCCATGGTGATTCAACACACGTCTGTTTGCCATTGCCTGGGGTAAGTCTTGTCGCTTCCTTTCATCTATGTTTTCAGCTTCCCTAATCTTAGCATCTTCTTTACGGATTCCACCTGGTGGCACGTGTTGACTAGTCAGATATGCTTTATCTCAAACTCGTACTAATTGAAGTAACTATATATTGCTCATGGTTGAGATGGGGTGTTTCTGTAAGACCACTGGGTGCTTTCTCATTGGTGTATATGTATATCTGTGGTTTAGAAATCATTAACACTATATCTTTGGCGGACCATCACTCGTGGACTTCATGAGTAAAGCAGAAGGGGATATCTATCCATCCTTGCCAATAATTTGATTCCTTAATTGGGTTCGGTCTGATTTTCAAAATAGGGAAACATAGTCACCCATTGCACTGTTTCGTGTGTGACATTCCTCTGTACTCCCAACTGCTTTTTTTTTCTTCTAGTGGAGCATTGGAGTTCTTACAACTCTCAGTTTGCAGTCACTGGGGTGGTGGACTATGGAGGCTTCCTCCTGAGTGTGATTCCATGTTACTATATTTACACTAATTTATCCACTCAGTGAGAAAAGGGTGAAGCTGGTTCTCTACTGGCGCTTTCCCCAGATGTTTTCTGCCCAAGTGGACTGCACTCAATAAAACCAATGATCAAATAATAACTTGGGCTAGCCTACATGGGATCCTCCTTGGGTTAAGGATGACAATGCTCTGTTCCAACAGTTGTGCGCAGTAAATGCCTCTCTTGTAAATTCCGGTTCCAGAAGATTCTTTCCTGCTTCTACAGTTGGGCTTGAGAGACTTTGTTTGCCTTGTAATACTGGCAATGAGACATCCATGCTCTGCTCCTACAGTTGGGCAAATGCTGCTTGTACTCCTCGTAATTCCGAATACAGGATGTCTCTGCCCTGCATTTATGTTTGAGTCGAGGCATTGCCAAAACCCCTTAATGCCAGGTTCGGTTTTTAGTACTTCTTGCTCCCACGATGGTTTTGGGAGTTTGTCCGGTTATGGCTGTTGCCCACTTCCTCTTTGTAGTTCCAGTTGCTTGACATATGGCACTCTGTTTATGTATGGTTGCGGTTGTTGAGTATCGACAAAACAATCCACATGCCCGAGCCATTTGCTGTTATTACATATATATATATATATATGATGCTACACCTTGCATCTTCTTAACACTTTTACAGTCGTGCAAGCACTACTTTTTCCTTCCATTTTGTGTTCCTTTCCTCATTCCTTGGTGAAGAGCGTCCTGTTCCAGAAGTAGTGCAGTACCCCACAGGTGTGCTTTATTTTCATCCTGAGCACAACTGTTAATTCTGGGTTTGTTCTTTGTGTGCCTACACTGGTCCTCCTACAAGTGAAGGTAAGTCCATTTTGGAAGTTAATATTTTCTTACACTGAAAATGTATTTCCAATAGGTACTTACCTCCTCTCACACACTTCCCACCCAGTGTTGATGTTTTTATTCTAGTACCTGCCAATTCTTGAGGATTAAGCGGGAATAGCAGAGGTAACTAGCTGCACCATTATAGGTGGTGAATACTATTGGTGGAGAGTAGTCACATGATATGTACATGTGCAAAACTGGTGCTCTGATTACTATAAATTCTTTAAGCAATGCTTAGAAGGCAGACAACGATTGAGATAGCCTTTGTGTAAGAGGAGCTAAGCCTATCGGAAATATATTTTCAGTGTAAGAAAATGTTAACTTTCAGACCCTTGAGTTAACAGAACTAAATTAAAAATATGGCTGTATACTCATGTTAAATACAGTTGTCTTTTTCCTATTCTTTGCCATAAAAAGAAAATGTACTTAAAGAAGCTTGTGTATATAAGTCTGTGTTTCTTTTGTTCAGAAAGGCCACTAATAAAATGAGGTTTTGTTGTTACTTTGCTTGCTGTAAATCAGGATGTTTAGCTAATTGAGTACTATATTCCAGTTTTAAACTAAGATTAATATACCACTTGGAATTGATGTATCATCTGGTACTGAGGCTGATGTATATCACTTGACATTGAATATACCTCAGTTTCCTACTGAGATTTTGTACCAGTTAATAGAGTATATTACACTTTTTTACAGCATTTAATGTGTCATTTGACACAGTATATCATAGTTTTCTAATGAGATTGTTGTATTATTTGATACTAAGTATATCACAGTTGTTTACTGAGGTTCATATGTCACTAATCATAGTATAGCTACTGAGTTTGCTGTGCCACTTGACACTTGAGTATTTCACAGTTTTGTAACAAGGTTGTTGTGCTACTTTACACTGAGTATATCACAGTTTTGTATTGCGGTTGATGTGCCACTTAACACTGATTATATCATGGTTTTGTACTGAGGTTGTTGTGCCACTTGACACTGGGTATATCAGAATTTTGTACTGAGGTTGTTGTGCCACTTGACACTGAGTATATTAGAGTTTTGTACGGAAGTTGTTGTGCCACTTGACACTGATTATATCACGATTTTGTACTGAGGTTGTTGTACAGTTTTGTAATGTATTTTTTTTTAAATGACCTAAAAATGTCTTTTTTTACAAAAAAACTTCATAACCAGACTTACCATCATTGTTATGTGATAATGCATGAAAAATAAGCAAACTGACCTTTCTGCTGTTCTGTAGTACATTTTATACAATTATATCTACTATCAAAATATTTAACAAAAAAATAGACATTTGGTCAGGTTCACTAAAGATGATAAAATTATCCTCAACACACTTATAGATTTAGTTTTAAAAAACAATGACAATTTATAACCATTGTAATTTATAAAAATTTGGAAGTGGATTAGCCAACCACCCCATCAGCCTGATTATAAAATACACTGTTATACTAAAAATTTGGTAAAGTTCAGTGGTGTAATCTTCTGCATATGTTTCTGTGTGTTTAATTAAGATTAATGTACACATGTTCAAAAACAAAATTTTACCATTAAGAATGCCAATGGTTGTTTGCCATTGTTGCTCACCAGATTATTTGTTCACACCGGATGGCTTCAAACTTGTATGAGAAGGCTGGAATAAATTTAAGTATTCTGGAGTATACCTTAGCTGAATGTGACATATAGTGATCCATTCATGTTATTTCAAAACCTGTGTATGACCAGTGATGAACACAGTCTGTATATAAAAGATAGTCTGGTGGTTAAGAGAATGAGGCTTAATCAAACTAGCTTTACTGTGAATCTATTACTTAAATTACACCATTGGGTTATATTACAATCAGTATCAAGCTTTCAGTTTATATTTGCAATAAAATGGAAACTGATTATTGTGTATTTTCATATAATGTTTATAGTAAGAAACATTAATGTTCTGTGTGCTTGACTGAAAGTATTTTATTTTTTAGGGTCCAAGATTGTCCCATTCTGGAGCTGGTTGCAGATGGGACAGGACTTGTTTCTCATATGGTTTAAATACCAAACAGGTATCTGGCAGATAAGAAGTGAACCACAGAATAAATAACTCGTAAAGTTGTGTTCTAATAAGAACAATTTCTAAAATGGGGTTTTTTTCAATGATATAAAAATATCTATTTACTAAAATGTCTGTACTCTTCAGAGGCTGTGGACCAAGCTTGTATATATATGTTTGTTGAAAGCAAAATAAATCAAGATGCCCTTTTGGTTTTGCTTAACTTCTGGTGTGTTTTTGTATTTTAACAAAAGTGAAATAAAGTACTGTGCTCACATTATTCAAAGGGATCCATAAGAAGATAAGGATTTAACACAAGGTTCAGTGGGAAGAAATTAAAATAGTAGTTCAGAAGTGATACGTGAAGAAAAAAAAAGGGAGGTCATCTAATTGGAAATATATTTACCAACCCCAAAATATATGTAAATGTTGAACATTAGAAGTATGTAGGTATATATATATATATATATGTTTCGAATTTTATCAAACAGTTCTTGTATTTCAACAAGTCCAAACTGTGAATAATAGTAACCTGTTTAATCAAACAGTTCTTGTATTTCAACAAGTCCAAACTGTGAATAATAGTAACCTGTTTAATCAAACAGTTCGTGTATTTCAACAAACCAAGATTGTGTATGCTAGTAACCTGTTTAATCAAACAGTTCTTGTATTTCAACAAGTCCAAACTGTGAATAATAGTAACCTGTTTAATCAAACAGTTCGTGTATTTCAACAAACCAAGATTGTGTATGCTAGTAACCTGTTTAATCAAACAGTTCTTGTATTTCAACAAGTCCAAATTGATTACACTAGTAACCTACCTAATCAAAAAGTTTTTGTAATTCAACAAATCCTGATTGTTTAAACTTGTAACCTGTCTAATTAAACAATTCTTGTATTTGAACAAGTTCAAATTGTGTATACAAGTAACCTGTCTAATCAAACAGTTCTTGTATTTCAACAAACCAAGATTGTGTATGCTAGTAACCTGTCTAATCAAACAGTTCTTGTATTTCAACAAACCAAGATTGTGTATGCTAGTAACCTGTCTAATCAAACAGTTCTTGTATTTCAACAAACCAAGATTGTGTATGCTAGTAACCTGTCTAATCAAACAGTTCTTGTATTTCAACAACCAAGATTGTGTATGCTAGTAACCTGTCTAATCAAACAATTCTTGTATTTTAACAAACCAAGATTGTGTATGCTAGTAACCTGTCTAATCCAACAGGTTTGATTAGACAGGTTACTAGCATACACATTCTTGGTTTGTTGAAATACAAGAAAGTTCTTGTATTTCAACAAACCCAGACTGTGTATGCTAGTGACCTGTTTAATCAAACAGTTCTTGTATTTCAACAAACCAAGACTGTGTATGCTAGTGACCTGTCTAATCAAACAGTTCTTGTATTTCAACAACCCAAGATTGTGTATGCTAGTAACCTGTCTAATCCAACAGTTCTTGTATTTCAACAAACCAAGATTGTGTATGCTAGTAACCTGTCTAATTAAACAGTTCTTGTATTTCAACAAACCAAGAATGTGTATGCTAGTAGGGTTGAAATTTTTTACTATTTGCTTATTTTGGTTTCATCTGTTTAATTAAATTAAAGGAAACATTTTACTCATTTTTGTGAACACTTTGTATTTAAGAGATTTGTTTTCAAGGCACTGATGAATTTTTGTGGCAGGGTTGAGCTTGGCCCATAGATTAGCTTTCCAGACTTTGGAGCTGAAGTTCCATGGTTCATGACCTATTGCTGCCAAAAAAAAAAGGTTTCTGTGGGTGCATTATAAGAGTGATGGCCAAATACCACTCCTGGGTCTGACAAGAGTTTGCAGTGTTGACTGGCTCTTTTCCCTCAGTCTGACAAGAGATTGCAGTGTTGACTGGCTCTTTCCCTCGTTTTGACAAAAGTTTGCAGTGTTGACTGGCTCCTTTCCCTTGGTTTGACAAGAGTTTGCAGTATTGACTAGCTTCTTTCCCTCAGTCTGACAAGAGTTTGCAATGTTGACTGGCTCCTTTCCCTCAGTCTGACAAGAGTTTGCAGTATTGACTAGCTTCTTTCCCTCAGTCTGACAAGAGTTTGCAGTATTGACTAGCTTCTTTCCCTCAGTCTGACAAGAGTTTGCAGTATTGACTAGCTTCTTTCCCTCAGTCTGACAAGAGTTTGCAGTGTTGACTGGCTCCTTTCCTTGGTTTGACAAGAGTTTGCAGTATTGACTGGCTCCTTTCCCTCGGTCTGACAAGAGTTTGCAGTATTGACTAGCTTCTTTCCCTCAGTCTGGCAAGAGTTTGCAGTGTTGGCCAGCTTCTTTCCCTCGGTCTGACAAGAGTTTGCAGTGTTGACTGGCTCTTTTCCCTCGTTTTGACAAAAGTTTGCAGTGTTGACTGGCTCTTTTCCCTCGTATTGACAAATATTTGCAGTGTTGACTGGCTCCTTTCCCTCTAGTCTACCACTTCAAAATTAGGGACAACTAGTGCAGAAAGCCCCATTTATGTTTGCATGAAATCCAGCAAACAAAGCAGTTCTGGCATGCATGGTGTTTGAGAAGTATTTCTTTTCACAAACATGGGTGTTCCCAGTTTTCTAAAATATTTAGATTTATTACATTTACATACAAAATAAATGTACCCACATTTTGTATGTTCATATGACTATAGTAAATCAACCTAGAAGCCAGCAAAACATCTTAATCATTATTTCATACAACAAATTAACTGATATACTTAAACTGGGCTCCACCAGCATTCAAACAATCATGATTTCTATGATGGAGTGCCTGACATGCTGTTACACAGATTTCAACTCTGATTCATTGGAAAGCATTTGTGATCTGTTGCTTTAATTCGTCAATGGTTTTGGGTTTATTTTTAGACATCCTCCGATATTTTCTGAAATAAAATAAAACTTATAGGTTTAGTTTACAGGAGTTGCATAACTTAAAGAATGGGTACATTTTTTTGAGCCACCATGTATATTTATACACTTGTTTTTGAACACAGTTATGTTGTAAACAAGAACAGTCAAACTTGGATAAAGTAGAAGTAAACCTTTTTCTTTATAAAATCTACTTCTTTACGCATGATTATGGCAATGATCTCAGGTTACCCTATACTGTAAAATGAGATTGTTAACTACTGAAAACTTATGTACAAAATCATGATGGAGTTTTGACTGTTTACATTTCTAACAATCTTTCATATAAACTTCACATTTACAATTCCTGGTTTCTATAAAACACCTTATATTCTCCAGTTGGTATTATGATGGTAACTGGTTTTAATCATGTCAGGAAATGAACTAAAATCTAGCATGAAAAATTAAAACACACCATAAAGACCTGTTCTTGTTTTAAATAAATAGCCATAATGTATTTTTTGTTAAAATATCACAAGTTCTACTAATTAGAATAACAAAATAAGTATGATCAGTGTTTTTATGTTTATACTTTACTTGTCCAGTTTATTTTGTGTGGTAAAAAAAGCTGATGTAAATCAGGTCATAAAAATCATAAATAACAACCCAGGGAAATGTAAAAACAAATCCAGTAATGAAATAGAAAAGATAATAGGTTGGGTGATTTTCTGTAACAATAAACTGAAAAAATAAAAAGATAAAAGTGTTTAATTACTCACATTGTAGATTTAATTACTTGTGAGTAGTTAGAGAATGGAAAATTCAAGAAATATTGCTTAATCTGGGAAACTAAACCTGAGAGGACTTGGATCCTTTATAAAATAAAATTGGCAAAATGTAGCATGCAATCAGAATGTGTATATGTTCAGAAACAATATTGTGTTGTTTATTACTTTCGACTTAAATGTACAGATGTGATATTTCACGTTTAAAATGAGAGATTCAGTATTGCAACTATAGTCATTTATGGAAAGTTAATTTCCTAAATTGATTGATCTGATTAATGTGTCAAATATACAGAATGCTTTTTTTTTTATCTAACTCAAGATGTTCTAAGCCAACTGCATTACAGGCATGCTAGAAAATACACATAATGGTTTGTAATGAAGAAAGCACTAATAGAAGACATCTCACTCTAACATATACAACACTGTGATTTTCTTCATAATTATAGATGTTTTTGGTGATGTATACAAATTGCTTTGTGCTGTGAATAAGTTGTCAACCCTACTACTTGGATACATTATTCTTCCTGCAAGAGCGTCTTGTAAACACTCATGGCCATAATCATTTTAGTAAAAGTTCCTGGCTCTTACTGTATTCTCTTTTATTCTGGAAGATGTGTAAACCTAGAAAATAGTCAACAATAAAAATATATTGTGTATATAAGTCCTTTTATTATACATCTAAAGGAAATTTGTCATTTGGAATTTTATGATTTGTGACTAAGAGAAAAAAAGAAATTGAAATATATTTTATTTTTGGCTTTCATTAGCCTTTTGCAGAAAGTATTTAAATTTAAATTGTTCAGAGGTTGGTGAACATTGTTTTCTACTCATTTTTCCATTTAATTCAGTAATAACCACTTAAGGATGATTCTTCAGATAATTATGAAATTGTTCATTCTTGGCTTTATGACTTACAGAAAACTAATTTTCTGCTCATAAAATCCCAGAATAATAGTGTTATCATACAAGAAATGGAAGCAGTTTTTGGTTTTAATTGGATAATTATTTCTTTCAAAACATTTTACATAAATATTACCACTCAAAAGCTCTCAGAAGAAATTGTAGCATCAACGTTATAAAATTGTAAACTTTAGTTATTCTTGGACTGATCAAGTTTGTTTTTAATATAAATATAATATTAATATCAGACTCACCACAAAAAACACTAGTTGCTAGCACCAATAAAATATTAACCAGTAGTGCTATTTTTCAGTCAAGAGAGCTATAAACTTTAAAGTTATCAAAAGTATGCATGACTGAAAATATCACTATAACAACCAAATGAAACTGGGTACATCAAGTGAATTTTATTTACCACTCATAAGTTCACCTTCTCATGAATATTTGAGCTTGATCAAGTCGAAATATTTTCTGTACTATGCTACGAGAAACAACTGGTAAAGTCATGTTGTTAGTATTCCAGGTAAACCTGTGTTTTTGTCTCGCCATAATTGAGCCTTTGTTACTTTTATCTCTTTCGTGAAAATTCACTACCTCCGAACATTTTAATATCAGAATTGAAATATTCACTTACTAGTATTAGCGAAAATAACAGATACACTACATTTTCCAATAATACTTCCCAGGCCACTTATCACAGTTAACTTCATATTAATCAATTCTTAACGTTAAGACCAAATTTTCTGTCTCCATTACTTTGTTTCTGATTTTTGTGCTTTTCAGAGAAAATATGACTCTCTTGTAGCTTGTATATCTGGTATACTTCCTAGGTAAATAGATGCAAACACGTAGTGAGTACAGGGTGGCATGCTCTGTAAATGTTTTAACATTTAACTAGATTATGGGAGTGATTCTCTCAAAACGTTGGATGACGGTTTGCATAAGAAAATTCACTCAGTAAAGAGTCACAACACTTTTCCAAACACATGATCGTTCTAACTGTTAATCAAGTAGAAATCAAACAATGTGTGTATGACTTGATAGCTTAGAAAACAAGGGACACAACTTCCTTTCAATCATCAGTTGTTCAGTCTAGTGACTTTCCTAGTTTTGATGTTTGAATATTATTTGCCAAATGTAATTCATGCATTCTGTTAGACATTATTACGTCACTAGATGATAGCTCAGAAAGCAAAAAATGCTTCTTCCTTTCAAGCATTGGTTACATGATCTAATGACTGTCTCAACTTTTATCCATGGGTGCTCACTGTCTCGTCTAACAGGGAAAAACCTCTAACTAGCAAACGTCATCCACCAACAACACGTTTTTGAGTGATTGATTGTGATCTTGACCAAAGCTCACGCTAAGTTCTACGGCTGGCAACAGCCTGGAAGTCCTGTGGAGACCTCTCCAACTGGTCTTGGGTTTTACAGGCAACAATACACATCGACAACCTTCAGTTGTCCTTGCTTACCTAAACTTTTCCTCTTGGTGAGTGCTTCTAGTCTTGGATTTTACAGGCAACAATACACATCGACAACCTTCAGTTGTCCTTGCTTACCTAAACTTTTCCTCTTGGTGAGTGCTTCTATATCTATAATAAATCTTTATTTCAGCAAAAGCGTTCCTTTATACTCTTTTCAACACAAGAGATCAAGCAAGGGCCAATACACATATCAACAAAAGCAGAAACTCTGTAATAAAACCTGTTGTTACAGCACCAAAATTTTTTCAGATAAACTGATTTCCCTAAAAGTTTTAGATAGTAAACATGCTAATAACGGCAGACTCGATCAGAAAATAAGGAGAGCAATCTGTGTTTGATAAATTTATTGAGTTTTAAATTGAGCTATATATATATATATATATATATAGGTTGGACATATTTGATGGACAGTGAAAACATTCT